AATAAAACAGACAGACCCCCATGTCAGGACGCCCGGGTGGCTCAGTCGGTTGAGCTTCTGACTTTGGCTCAGGTCATGATCTCACAGTTTGTAAGTTCAAGCCCCGCATCAGGCTTGGGCTCACTGCGGTCAATGCAGTGCACAGCCCACTTCAGATCCTCTGTCCTCCTCCCCCTCTGCCCCTCTCCTGCTCCCACTCTCTCTCTCAAAATTAAATAAACATTAAAAAACAAACCAAAAAAAACCCCAAAACAAAAAAAGACCCAACTCATGTCCCAGTGGGAGAGACAGAGACTAAGCAGTGCTATGGAGAGAAGCAGGAGAGGGGAGGGTATGTGAAAGGCTTTTCAGAAAGCAGAGATCTGAATGACTAGTGAGGGGCGACCCAGCAGGTCATTAGGGAGGAAGGAACAGAGCTTGCTAAGGTTTCTGCTGTAGTTTCCCCAAAGCAAAGGAGATACGGTATCCAGACAGGTGGGCGCACATCGGCACTTCATCAAAGATAGCTCCCTCCCTCCCACCCCGGCACCAAAGTGGAGGCTCAGTCACCCTAAGCCACCTCTGTCAAGTCCCCAAGCTGGCACCCACTCACCCACTGCCCCCTCCTCATCCTCCCTTGGGGTGAACAGGGGCCCAGCCACCTACTTTTTGCAGCGGGGCCACCCGCCCGGCCCTCTGGGACATCCATGGGCCACCCTGGTCGCTCCACAGCTGCTGGAGAAACTAACAGCCTGCCCCCATCACTGGGAGGGACTGGTAAAGGATCGTCTGCTCCAAGAGCTCCTGGAAGGACAAAGGGGAATGGCCTTCTCAGACCAGCCACCCTGCCCCACCTGTGCCCCAGGCCGCTCTGGGTTCTCAGAACCTGTTTGCCCACCCCTGCCTCAACCAGAGCAGCTCCCGCTCAGACCTGTTTTATGAATTGGAGGTGTGGGCTGGGAAAATGGGGGGCCAAGGAGTGGGCAGCAGAGATCAAAGAGGGGGCTGGTGGGTGGGGGTCACTGCCTCCTTGCGTCCCTCCCCCACCTCCTCCCCACAGCCTGTCAAGTCCCTAGCCTTGTCCCTCTTGCCCTATGATTCTAACTTGACCCCTCCTCTCCTTCCCTACAGCTCTGGGTTCCATCCTCTCCCCCTGGGCCCTGGGCCCACCCTCCTCCCGGCCTCCCAGTCTCTAGTCTTTCCCTCCCCGTCCATCCCCAGCAGCGCCCCAGAGCTGACCTGCCCAGTGTTCTCCCGTGGCTCCCCAGTACCCCAGGTTCAGAGCCTAGACCCTGGACCTGGCATTGAAGGCCTTGCACAGCCTGGCCCTGCCCGCCTCCCTACCCCAAATCACACTTGCTGTTCCAGCAAATCTGAACTGCGTGCTCTCCCCCAAACTGGACTGGCTGTCCCCACCTCGGGGTATCTGACTGGGACGCCTTCCTTTCCAGCCCTTCCTGCCTTGGCTTATCTATCTCCTCCTCTGGGAAAATGTTTCTGAACCAGCTGCCGTCCCTGGGTTCCCACACCACCCTGGGCTACCTACATTCTGCCATATCAGTCTGTATTTGGAACTACTGGCCTCCTGTGCGAGTTGGACCCCCATCTCTCTCCTGCGCCAATCCCTGCCATGGATCCCTAGTGCCCTCAGGGCTAAGTCCTAGCCCCTCTGGCTGGTGTGGGACAGAGTCTTCGTCCCTGCAATTCCTTGCCCCCTTTTGTCACTTTTCTCTCCACTGGCTGACCTCTAGGTCCCTCCCGCTCATCACAGCCGTGGGAGTTCTGCACCTTTGCATGGTCTTCCCCGGCCCAGGTGGTTCCACACGCACCATCCTCACATGTGGCCCCTGCCCTGGCTCACAGCCTCCCTGGGAAGCCTTCCCTGAGTCCCTGGGGTCCCCTAGGGACCAGTGAGGGACTCCCTCCTCTGTGCCCTGACAATGCCCTGCCCTACCTCCATTATAACCAGGTTGACCATCCGTACGACTTATCGTCCCAACCCAGGACACTTTCAAGAGTGAGAAGAGTGTTGGGGCACCCGGGTGGCTCAGTCAGTTAAGCGCCTGACTCTTGGTTTTGGCTCAGGTCATGATCTCACAGTTTCGTGAGTTCAAGCTCCACATCGGGCTCTGTGCTGACAGTGAGCAGCCTGCTTGGGATTCTCTCTCTGCCTCTCTCTGTCCCTCCCTAGCTCACACTGTCTCTCTCAACTTAAAACTTTAAAAACTTACAAACTTAAAAAAAACTTTAAAAACTTAAAAAAAAAAAAAGTAAAAGC